TTTTTCCAATTGCTTTCAATGTCTTCTGAGTGTCAGCATATCACAAAATATTCATTGTGTGTATGACTTAAAGTTTACTATTTGTAGATAGTACATTGTAAAATTTTTGTTTTCATTTTTTCATAGAGGCCACATGACCCTGAGACAGTAGATCTGATCCTGGAACTTCTGGATCGCGACTGTAACGGGCTTGTCGATTTCAATGAATTCCTCCTGTTCGTTTTCAAGGTGGCTCAAGCTTGTTATTACGCTCTCAGCCAGGTTTCCGGGCTGGATGAGAAGGGGGTCAGGTGTGAGGGAAAGGAGAACCCGTTACAAGATCCCAGGCAAGAAGACCAGAGATTTGAGCCCCGGGACAGACAACTGGAAGAACACAGGCAGAAAAGGCAGGAACTGGAGAGGGAGCTCGCAGAGGAAGACAAGCAGCGGCTGCAGAGGCGACAACCGGAAGAGCGCCTGGAGGAGGAAGAGCAGCTGAAGAGGCGCAAGGGTCGGGAGCCTGAGGAATTTCCTGACCGAAAGCAAAGGCAAGAGAGGCGGGAGCAGCGCGAGCTCCGGGAAAAAGAGGAGCAGTTGCAAAGGCAGAAGCGGGAGCAGGAGGAGCCGCGGTTGCAGCAGGAGCTGAGGCGCGAGGAGCAGGAGAGACGCGAGCAGATAGAGAGGCGCGAGCAGGAGCTGAGGCGCGAGGAGCCGCGCTTAGAGCAGGAGCTGAGGCGCGAGCAAGAGAGGCGCGAGCAGCAGGAGAGACGCGAGCAGGAACTGAGGCGCGAGCAGAGGCTGAGGCGCGAGGAGCAGGAGAGACGCGAGCAGATAGAGAGGCGCGAGCAGCAGCTTAGGCGCGGGGAGCCGCGCTTAGAGCAGGAGCTAAGGCGCGAGCAAGAGAGGCGCGAGGAGCAGGAGAGACGCGAGGAGGAGCTGAGGAGCGAGGAGTTGCTCTTTGATCAGGAGCTGAGGCGCGAACAGAAGAGGCGTGAGCAGGAGCTGAGACGCGAGCAGAGGCTGAGGCGTGAGGAGCCGCGCTTAGAGCAGGAGTTGAGGCGCGAGCAGGAGAGACGCGAGCAAGAGCTGAGGCGCGAGGAGTTGCCCTTTGAACAGGAGCTGAGGCGCGAGCAGGAGAGGCGCGAGCAGGAGCTGAGACGCG